TTTAGTATGGGCTATATTTACATTCCTGCCCCATCCTGAAAATTCCCCGTTTTCCGGCGAACGATTACAGAACTTTCTCTTCGTACGGAGTACCTTTCTAAGGGCGAGAAATTAAATAGAAGTAGGCCTAATAAGTCCTCATTTATATGCTGTGTTTAGCCATAGAATCCGTCCTCATATTACTATAGATCACAACAATATCTCATACATTTTTTACAAAATATACCCAGAGTTTTCTGTACATCCCATTTTAACCCAGGTATACATAGACTACGACTCGTAACTAACAGAACATTGTATACGCAATCGACTCCCTTTCAACATCCTCCGTAATCTGGCAGACAAAGATAATGAAATTAACATTCCTCTCATCAATAATCCGCGTTCCTTCAATTTTTGTTTGAGGGAGGTTGCCTAGCAACCCCCTTCGTATCTTCTTTGATTGAAATTACTCGTTCCCAAAAGCTGAATAGTCCCTTTGCTGAGTCTTGTTTTATGAAATTTTGCAGCAAAAAATCCATCTTCATAGATAAGAAAATACATTGAAAAATCAATCAAATATGAATTGGGTATGCAACTCGGTTGCTTTCTTCGCAGGTTATGCAATTCGTCATCCACCCATATATTAATTGTGGGAGGATGTGGTACAATTTCCAGAACTTATTTTTATGTTGAATGAGATTTCGATATAATTAACAAGAAATAAGGACGGAAATAAATAAATGAGGTCCACTTGATATCCACTAGATATGCAGATACTATTTACTTTCTATCCTCTAGATATCAAGAAATACATTCTAAAAAATATAGTGTGTTTTCGGGCTATATCTTTCGAGCAAGTTTTCGAAGTTATGAACATTTTCCTCCATGAAAGTATACATTCAACACCATACTCTTTTGATTGGTTAGATCTTTATTCAATAAGCTAACTCTAACCAAGCGGACGGGTAGTGTTAGTACAAAATAAATTGATAGTAAGCAGTAAAAATGTTATTAAATATTCACTAATTGGGCAGAAATTTAAGATTTATAAGAGCTTCACTTGATCTATCCGGAAAGCTGCCATTGGCTGCCATTGCTGACTTCCATAAGAACATGAAGTGAACGTTCGCAACGGTTTCCAGCAAAATGACACGCCCCCTTAAATATAGAAAGTATTTTTTTAAACCAACTTTTGATGGCCTTTTTGCGCCTCAGCTCTTTTTAAAACCCGAAGGAGTTACATATACATATATATTCTTTCCGACTGAAGTAAAATTGAATATACCATTTTATTGTACGAAGACGTATCACTAACGTTAAGTAAATAGAGCCTCCTTATCTTATATATCTCCCATCCATGTCGCCGTTCAACAATCAAATTCTCGGAATAACTTGACAAATATACATCGGTACATTGTATATCAATGCTGGTTCGGTGGGAGTATTCCATTATTGTATTAAAGTTCGTACAAAATTATGGTACTCAATTTTTTCAATTTTTCTTTCATATTACATTTAAATTTAAGAGAGAAAACCTAAATGAGCTAATTTCAATTGTGTTCGGATTGCTTGAAAGAAAATAAATCAATATATTAGGATACAAATTGTAGAAAATAGTTTTAAAAATGGAATTAATATTAGGTTTTTCAACATAAAACTATAATTAAAATAACATTATTTTTCATATCTTTTTGATACATTCCTGTTCTCCGAGGTTTTTTCTTGTGACCCTTAGTTCGTGGGATACCTGTATTTATTTCATTAACTTCAAACAGAAATGTCCCCAAAACTACTAGTTTAAAAAAATGTAGTACATGATCTTTTTTAATGAGCTGTTTTTAGAACTTGCTTTGCTCCATTTTGTAGTTTTGAAATGTTAACATTTTGTATACTAATTTTCACCTTCCTGTCATTTTTCTGTACACGTTTACGCTCGGAACATGTTCCGCAGACAAATGTATTTTAATAATTAAATTTGTTCAAAGAATTCAATTAAAATAATTTTCAATTTTTCTAAAATATGGGTAGTTTTCGTGCAATTTTGCGCGAAATGCAAGCAGTTTTAATGCAGGTAATTATATATTTTTAGAACATTTTTTTTCACAAAAACAGCTCACATTTTTTTGTAAATTTTCTCCTCATATGTATAAAGAGACTATAAAATATAGTGCTAGTTCCATTTTCGGAGTTTTCTCCGTATTTTCGAAAATTGCAAAAAATTGACAATTAAATTAGTTCAATGAATTGTCACTCTGACCGGGATTCAAACCTGGGTCTCCTGGTTTAGTCCGAGTTGCTCTAACTATTAAGCTACCAAGACTTATTCTTTGAAAAGGTTCTAACACCTGATTTATTGCCCGTTGTTATAAAGTGTAGAACTAAGTGATCAAACCTCGTCCATTTCCTCTACCATGCAAGATAGGAAGATGTCGTTTCCACAGTCAATTTTATAAACAGGAACTACTTGATTACAGCATTCTTCGCCTTTGTTCTACTTTTTAGTACGAAGATATAGGATCAACTCTATTTTTTTAAAAATAGAATCCTATGCTAAATTTCAGTGTATCGTAATGTACTTAAAAAGACGATTTAATTTATGTGTATTTTATATATTCGTATTTAAGCGAATCGTTTTTTAGAAATCGATTTGTTTTTGTAACGTATTTTTCCACTGAAGCGGCGATCTTCCGTTCGATCTTTTCTGCTAATTAAATGAGGAACTTCGCGAGTCCATCAGTCAGACAAACGCGCTCATTTATTTGAGCAGATAAGCAAGTATTTTCTTCGATAATAGTTTAGCCGAAAGGAAGACTTCGGCCGAGGAAGACTCAAATGCTCCATACAGGATTCTTGTATGTGACGGTTACTTACGAATAAATTAGTATTAAGATAACGTTCATTTATTTTTGTATTATTTACTTAAAATTTATAATAGAACTTTCCGGATGCATCAATCCCGTATACAGCATTTGTGTCTTATGCGTGAGAAAGTAAAATCTAATATCTTTAGATGGAGGATTTTGTTACACTCACTTGAAGAAATGTAAATGATCTGTCGTTCATATCTGCGTGAAAAATTGTTTTTCAAAAGGGAAACATTTATGCAATATTTTTACTGGATATAATATTTAATAAAGAATAAGAAAGAGAAATCGTTCAAAGTTTCTAAGAAAAACATTGATTTAAAAAAGGTATAAAATCTCAATCCTTAGCATTCGTAATCTCTTGAAATAAATTATATGTAATTAGGAATATTGATTTAAAAATAATGCAAGGAAGTTGTGACTGAAGGCGCGTATCCTGAAACTGCTCAAGAATGTGACATATAGAGGAGAATATTATTTTTATTTTTGGAAGAAAAGCTTCATTTGTAATAAATTTGTAAATTATTTCTTCTAATACATAATGTTCGAACAATGTATTTTGTAATAAATAAAATAATGCATCAGGACCCTCCTCCCGCCGGTCTCTCTTGGGATCAACTACTGAATGCAATTTTAAGGAAAACCTGAATTTAAAAATGAAATACGGAGAGCAGAAACACTGTGAATGAAGTATATAATTGAGGCCGATGGTCAGAGCCTCTGAAATATCCCAAACGAGTAGATACTTTACTGTCCGGGAGACTCTGCGTCCAATGTACAGTTACCAAGGTTTCGGCCGTCGTACGGCGACTTTCCTCAGGGCGAAAAGCTTTTGGAGCCCCGAGAAAGGTCGCAGTATCCGGTCAGCCACGTCTTTAGAGATTCCGGCCTCGGTCGCCTACGTTTTTGCAAGGGAGAAGGCCGGTGGCAGAGCCTCTGGGCAAAGAAGACGAGTGGAGGGCAAATGCTGAGCCAACGGGTGGAAGCGGCCCGGCGCCCGCAGGCCTCTGGAGGCCTCTGGGGGCGTCTGAGGGCCGTTGGGGGGTACCTGTGCGTCTGCTGGCTGTTGGCGAGGGGTCCCGCGGAGTCGGGGCGGTTCTCGTCGGCGGGCTGCTGCGACTGTGGGGGTGGCGGGGGCGGGTGTCCGCCCAGCAGGTGGCGCGTGGGCCGCCGGGGGCGGGGCGCGTGCGACGGGGGCAGGTGGGGTGGCGGCGGGGGTGGGTGCTGCGACGTCGGGTGGCCAGCAGGCGACTGGTGGTGGCCGCGCGGCCGCCGCCGCCGCCGGCCGGCCGCCGCCGCCGCACCGCCGCCGCGTGGCCCGGGCCCCGGTGCGGCCTGCGGGTGCGGGGACGACATAATTACAAGCCGCGCCCGCCGACGGCACTCACGGGGTGGCGGGCGGCCGGGCACCTGGCGGCGAGACCGCGCCCCCGCCCGCCGCTCCCGCCGCCGCCGCCGCCGCCCCCAGGCTCCACGCTCGACGCCTCCAGCGCGAAGGGGAAGCCGCCCGTCGTGTCCATGGCGACCGCATCCTGTCGAACACACCGCAAGATGGCGTCAGTGGCTGCAGCCAGACCGCAATCCACGCTGCGCCGCCCCGCGGATTATGGCTGCCGCCGCGGCGATATTGTTTTATAGGGCCCTTACACGCGGGGAGATATGTCGCCAATTGTGACTGGAACGGCACCGAGTTATAAACGGCAGGAAACACTCCTCTCGGATGGAACAATGCCAAACGTAACTAATCAATATCAAGATTTCATATGGATGCCTGTGGTTAACCAACATTCCAGATGGAAACACGAATCGCAAAAGCAATATTTTAAATTTATAGGTACATCTCATACACGTTCAATCTCTAATGTGATTGTCACGATTCCATGTTTTTTGCGTCCGACGGGAACTATTAGTACGACTTAAAGTATTAAATTTATTTTATGACACTTATAAACAGAAAGTAATGTTTTACGCTATTACGAGAAATGTCACTTGCTTATAATGTTTTTCTCGGCGTTGTCGGGTAATCAATTATATTTTCTATTTCCCTCAAAAGTTCTAGTTCCCTCAGAGCAGACATAATATATTTATATAAATGCTAAATTTTAAGCTTATAAGACTGAACATAAAATAATTTAAATAAATTCATAATTTGGTTCACACGACTACTGAAAAACTAAGAACTCTTGTCATAAACACCACTCCCCTTAAAAGTATACGAAATTTTTGTTATTTTTGTAAAATATTGCTCAGACAAAATAAATTCTTTATTGATTACTCTTTCACGAACATTTAAATGTCTTTCTTGATTACTACCAATGATAAAATGAACATTTCAATTGTTAAATACATATATACTTCAGCACTAAAATCTTTTTGAAATAACGCAGAAAAGAAACGAAATTATAGAATATTGAAATAATGTCGTTTTATTTACGTTACCAACTACCGTGGAGAACATTTAAAACTCCTTGGACGTAGATTATGGTTTGTGAGCCCCTGCATTCGTGTGTTCTGACGTCAGCTGCCGGGGCATGAATGGGCTAGATCTCAAAGGAACGATTTGGCACTTAACGCGGCAAGGGGAGAGAGCTTGAGTGTCCAGCTGGGAATCGAAATCTCCTGTGGCAGATACACCTTGTAATGGTAACTTCTGGGTGCATTAACTTAAATGCATGCATGTTGAACACGATTAGAGAATCCACCGGTGAGATAGAGCATATTAATTTTGTTTTCAGAAGGAAAAAACAAAATAAAACTATAAATACCATGAAACAGTAATCAACATTTTTATAGTATATTATGTTGGATTTCATCCTACCTAAGCATTATGCAATTGATTTAAGAAACTTACAATATACTTTTTCGAAAAAAAAGTTGGGAAATATTCATATCGAGAACATTTGTGAAATGAAGATTCATAAAACGACAATGTTAAATGGTAAGTTACACATACTGTCAACAAGATGAAAAAGAAGTGCCCTTTAAATATTTTATTGAACCCCTAATAGTAATCAAGCAAACACTAAGCACAAGCATTTTCACAAATTTACCACTAATAAATTATACCTAACATGCAGCAAGCGGTCCGTGACAACGGCCGCAAAAGCGTCAGAAAATAACAAAATATTTTCTTTTATAATCACGCACATTTTAAATGCCTACTAACCAAAAACAAATATGAAATAAAGTTTCAACTTACCGCTCTGCGCTGATCACAGCCCCCGGCGCGGGCCCAAGCGTCTCTTTCGAGATGCGTGGCTGGACGGCGCAGTTCATGGCGTCGCCGTCAGGTGTCAGCACGAGTCTCGTTTCTTCTTCGTTCGGTACGTTTAAACGCCTTTCCTAAAGAAAAAGCACGGTTTAAAAACCTTTCTTTTCGTTCACGAGGCTTAGTTTGTTAAGATCTCGTAATAGAAAAACGCCTAAACGCCGTAGATAAAGCGAAAATCGCCAGCCAACGCGGTACGTTTTCAGGCCAAAAACATATGTTCCTCGTGGCAGTTGGTCGGCGCAGCGCTAGATGGCAGGACTAGCAGCGTCAGCGAGCCTCTGCGGCCGGTCGCAGGAGGCGCGGCAGATGGTACCCTGGGGGGGTTCGCGCCGTGGTGCAGGGGGCCGATGCTTGAGGGTGCGGAGTGCGGCCCGCAACACAATCGTATAGCCATTATTATGATCGCGTGGGTCCAGACGCGAGCACAAAGGCGGAGGTCACTATGGCAACGGCAGCTCCCATGGTCGCACCCCCCTTCGCCGTCGGGCGGGCGTCTGCTTTTTCGAAGTCGAGGGGCCAGGGCCGAGACGGGTCGAGGGGGGCTGGTGCTGGGCGCTCAGTGAGTCTGCCCAGACGGCCACCAGGCAGGATCTTCCGCGTGCTCCGGGGCCTTCAATTATACAGGGTTTATTGATATCGTTGAAAGTCGTGGAAAATGCATGCCCTCACGGAGGTGGCGAGCGCGCATCCCGGCACGTCGCGGCGCGCCCGGGGCGGAGTCGGACGTGGGGGGCGGGGGCGGGGGC